TAGTATACCGGGGTTTATAGGGAATAATGGAAAATAAAATGGAAGCTACTATAGTATACTGGGGTTGGGTAAGAGCTTTTGCCAGGAGGTAAGAGCTTTTGCAAGGAGCGTAGTAGGCTTGCTATGGCTGCTATAGGAGTTATTTGAGGGACGACTGCAGGGATTAATGCAGGGCTTGTGTGGAGACTAAAGTCCCCCTGAAGTAGATAGAATATGGGGTATATGGGGTCCTATTATAATATCGTACCCAAAGCCATATTCTATCTACTTAAGTGGGACTATAGAGCTTTTTAGTCCTCAACCTTGCTTGGGTGCTCTCCGTTGATTCCTGAAGAGCGCACAGAGCACTTTTGGCCCACTAAGCCCGAAACCCTAAACGCTAACTGGTAGTTTCCATCTTGTTTTCCATTATCCCTATATAACCCCTATATTACTCCTATATAACCCTATATATCCCTTTACAGGAACTTAGGGTTTCCATTTTATTTTCCATTATCCTTACATTTCCCCAATATACTATAGTAGTTTCCGGAAAACCCCAGCTTGAAAGGGTTCTTGTGGGTAGATTGTGCCAAATACTTTGCCAGTAGGTTCTGTAGGATTTACGAACTATTATGTAGCATTCTGGGATTATATATATATATATACATAGGGATGATGGAAAAGAAAATGGAAACTACTATAATAGGGTTCAGGGTTGAGGTCATTTAGACTTGTTTGTTAGTTTGCATTGGTGTCGTCGCTTCAGACCCTGAAGCCTCTGCGGCACTGGAGGATGACGCTTTAAGATTTCTCGGGCATTCACAAGGTGCCATCAGATTATTGAAGATACGTTTGTGGGCCGAAGTCTCGCTTTCATAGGAGCTTACGTGTGGCTTCTCAGAGTCGGGTTATGCAATGAGACCTTTGCGCGTTCTTTTTTCGGATGTGCTTCGTGTTGAGGTATTCTCCTGGCTTCCTTTGGAGCATGGTCAAACGTTTAGACAGGGATTAAGGGGGTGTTAGTTGCAGACTAGTGAGCTACAAATAGCTGGTACATGGCTTTTCCTGCAGCAGACCCACTTACTGTTTCCTAGTAGAAACACAAGAGAATAATATCATCCCTATATCATCCTTGTCTAATACATTCTCATATGCCCTCCTAAGAACCAGTAGGATAACCCCTAAACCCGAAATAGTAGCTTCCCTTTTCCTTTCCTAAACCCTAAACCCTAAACCCCTTACATAATCCCCTACCTAACCCTCATATAGTCCCCTACATGACCCAGTTTCTAAGCCTCTAAGCCCTGGTCCGTACAAGATGAAGGAGTCCTACGCAATCCATGCACATTCTTGATTTGACCTTGGTCTTACTGATTAGAAGAAGGGAATAAGGGAATAGACTATACAGGGATTACATATGGATTATAGGGGTAGTATAGGGCATATGGGAATAGATTATATAGGGGTTTTTATTATGGGGATGAAATGCCTGTATTCCCTACCAAGAACTAGTAAGTGGTGTGATAACTCAAAGCAGGTGGTTCCTTTCCGCATGGCCTCTACGTTCATGCGGCTTGGCAACTTCTGTCAGGGGTCTCAAAGCATGGGAGGATCTGGAATAAGGGCGTGGAAAAGGTCCCAGAAGGTTGGGGACACGGAGAGGCCCATTGTTCCGAGAGATTGCCACGCAACCCTCAAGTTCTGTGACCCTAAACCCTAAACCCCGATTTGTAGAGAGTGGGTTAGCGCCCGCTTTGGAAGCTTTTCTAACTGCAGGAGGAAAAGAGGCGCCACAAAAAAAGAGTAGGGAACCGCAGTAACAGACAAGAACCACTTTCTAGCCGAGGTTTGCTGGCTGAGGGTTGGGGAGTGATGGGGTTATATTGTTATTGTTATGTGTAAAATTGTATATGGTTTGTATGGGGATTATGTAGGGTTTATATGGGAATGATACAGGGATTATATGGGGACTATATATATATATATATACGTGTAGGATTCTAATCTGAATGATGGATGTTTGCCCTGACCCTTGACCCTAAAACCTATTTTGATGCTGCAATCCCGGAGTCGGAGAACAACCCCCGCAACCTGGCGCCCCAGACTCCACTTGGAGGGTCAGGGGGCCTTAGATTAGTTAAGTAGGTTAATAATGGGGATAAATGGGGTTACTATGTGGTTTTGACTGCGGTAGGATGACAGTTCGACCTACTTGTCATATGTCAGACCCTCACATCAAGCAGACCCCCCTCTCCCCTGTAGACTCCTCCACTGAGCACCATGGGGATTCCGCCGGAAGCTTAAAGTAGTAGAAATTTAAATCCGTGCAAAAAGTGACTCCACAACATGGCCCATGCCACGCACTGCTTTTCTACATGCTGGTCCCCCTCTTAAGCCCCTAGGCTCCACTAGGTCGAAACTTTATTCCTGGCGATGTAGGGTTTATTCTTATACTTACTAAGTTTCCCTGACCCTCCAAGCAGCGCAGTTCATGCAGTGCTGGCGCACAATGCAGGTGGCAGGGTTCCACAGAACTTCTAAACACCAAACCCTTGGAAACCCTCCAAGGCCTCAACCATAAACTGAAATCCCTCAGCCCAAAAGCTTGAGCCTTAAATCCTGAACCAGAAGCCCTAAACCGAAATCCCTAAATCCTAAACCCCAAGGCCTAAACAGTGAATAGTAGTTTCCACTTGCTTTTCCATCATCCCTAAATAACCCCTACATAACCCCTGTAACATCCCAATAGACCCTAAGCCATGCTTTCAAGGACCTCCTTTGGCCGCGGCTTCGGCGGCACCAACGTGTCGGTAGTGAGCTACGCAGCCAAGGCCAGTGCGATATGAGTTATAGTCTAAACTCCTTATTAAACGGGGGCTATATAGGATTTAGGGTCCAAACTCCGCATAGGGGATACTGGCAGTTTAGATTATGGCTCATGTAGGGATTACCTCCTGAGGGTTTAGGGTTTACATTTTAGGGTTTAGGGTTAAGGGTTTGAGAGTTTTAGGGCTAAGCGTTCAGGGTTTATGGTTTCACGGCTTTAGGGGTTTTAGGTTTTAGGGAAACTGCTACAACTCTCCTGATTAGCAGGGAATGAAGACACCGAATATGGGAACTATTGTAGTCGAGAACCAAAGGGGAAAGCAAATGGATAATGGACTGACTCGTATTTTGTTTTGAGGGCGTATAGGGAAAGTGGAGACGCAAGTGGAACAAAAGGAAAATGAAATGGACACTTCAGGGCTCATGGATAATACAGCCCAGATAATCCAAACAATGCATGGGCAAGAGCATGGAACCGGACCTGTAGGTATTATTGCTCAGGCGCATCCCGTGATACCGGGCAAAGGGCCCTCAACGATCGGGAGTTCATAGAAACTGCGAAGCCAAGCCCTTGTACCTGCAGGGTGCTGCACTGTAATACATTGTAAATGAATTCACCATCGATAACTTCTGTACTTCTGATTTTGCCATTGATTGCCTCTATCAGCTACACAGCTACACACACACAAAATTCCCCTCAACTGCCAATTGCAGGACCCCAGCCACGGCCGCAAATCCTCTCACGGTCGCGGAATGCAGTCATAACTTGCAAATGTTCCATGTGAAGCAAAACTCCGAAGTCCCATATATAGATCCAGCTGGTAATCATTCTCATGATTCTCATGCTCCTTGTAGTGGGAGTGGGAACTGCCCCGTGGGAACTGCCCCGCACCCCTAGGAACTGCCCTACACCCCGAATCTTTGAATCCGCAAGTGAGCCACGTCCTACGCCCTAAACCCCAAGCTCGCGATCCTCATCCCATCATAGTCCCCCTTAAGTAGATAGAATATGGCTTTGGGTATATTATACTAAGATCCTCATATACCCCATATTCTATCTACTTAAGGGGGGACTCTACCCCAAACCCTAAACCCCAAATAGTAGTTTCCATTTGCTTTTCCACTATCCCTATATAACCCCCATATTCTATCTACTTAAGGGGGACTATAAGCCCAACCCAAACCCTAAACCCTAAACCCTAAACCCTAAACCCTAAACCCAAGCCTCGGAAGGACACCAGCCACCTACCAGACTCTGCTGCGCCCCTGCCCCTAGCCGACGGCCTGGTGTTCTGGCCAGGAGGAGGCAGCCCTTATCCTCGAAACAGGTTTAGGGCTTAGGGCTTAGGGTTTAGGGTTTAGGGGTTCAGGGGTTTAGGGTTTAGGGGTTAAAGGGCTGCTGACAGGTAGTTCGGAACCGAGCCTGCCTTTCGCTTTCGAGAGAGAGAGGGT